CATATTTTTCACTCCCTTCCTCACCCTCACGACCCCCTCATGTACCAACCCACCTTTCGCTTTCCCATATTCCAAGACCGTTATTGAAGGGGATTGAGTTTAACACAGATTTACACCACTGGGAGGAGAGGGGGGGGACACTTAACGACGTGGCTAAACGGCACAGACAAAAACAAACCCACACGTGCCAACCAAACATGGCTTGAAGATCCCTCGGACTTAATGAGGCTTACAGAGTGATCAGAATATGATTCATTCACAAAGAGTCATTAAAATGTGCAGCTTCTTCACGCGCAGACTCTCTTGTATCATTCACACCAGTAAAATTAAAGCTGCATTCACACAGTAAGTCACAGTTTGATCCCTCGATGACATTACAGGCTGCGGTTACCAAGGTAATCCTCAAATACGTACACATTTTCTGACCTATAAGCTTATGATTAATGTGTGCAGATGGAAAAAAAAAAGATACATTTTACAGTGTTTTAAAAATGTACTCAGTCCGTCATTTCTCCTTCTGTATTAAAACTGCCAATACCTTTTTGTCTTTTTTTTTTTGTTCTGTTTTTAAAACAAAATGATTATTCACACTTGGAACTGCTGTGAACCGCCCGCTCCGCAACACAACACGGATCGATACCGGCTCAGTCAATTCCCACCATCGGCGCGCACTCTGTGGTGTAGCCTCGAGTGTGATGGATGAACTCTTAGGGTCAACTGGGAAGAAAATAGAATAGCGCAGCCATCTTTAAACGTTAAGAAATGCTCGGTTGTACAAAATCAGCACCTTTCCTGCCAGACGAATTCTGAATTTTAGCATACGTTTTATGAAATTCTGTGCAAACGCATTGAGTCGGGGCTCGTGTTTTTTGCATGTAGAACTTGCAATGAATGCTACCTGGTGACCGGAAATGTGTAGGATTTACTTGCAAGAGGACCCTCAACTATATTCATTGTGCAGATGTGATGCCATCCACAGTATGAATATTGGTGACGAGTCAGCATTGGTCATTAACTACAGAACTGGGATGATCCAAAAGGGAGAGACGTTCACCAAAAACCTGTACCTTATAGAGAAGGGAGAGAGATGAGACTACGTTTCTGGGTTAAAACGGATTATAGACATTAAAGAAGATAACTTGCTGCTTGCTGTGTAGACAGCCAGTTTTGTAGTAGAGAGTAAAGTGGCATGACTCGCCTTTGGCTGTGTTCAGACTGCAGGCAAATGCCACTCGAATCTGATTTTGGGGGGCCATATGTGACCTGTATCTCATTATTTTTATGACAATGTGAACTATTGAGTTTGGATTTTTTCAAATCCAACTCAGGTAACTTCAACATGTGGTGCTAGATCGGATACATATCTGATTTTTTACAGAGCAACCTCAGCCTGAATGGGCAGATCGCAGAGGTCCGACCCATATATCAGCCCAATATGCGGTCCGCAAAAGCGGGGCCGACTAACAATTGTCCGTGAATCTGCAAAGTTGTTTTGAGTAACAGTGCTGACTTTATGATTGACTTTCCAGTAATTTAATCCCACTTGAAACATGAAGCATAAAACTGACATTTGTAATGATAGTAGTACGTAATTCAGCCAGGCAAACGCATCATTCCGAGCGGGAGTGAAGGCAATGACATGGAGTCGTCATTGTCAGACGTCTCTATGAAATGCAGAGATCGAAAAGACCATTTCCCCAAAGTATTTCTAGCTCCGCTGGACCATATTTACTTGTGTTAACACTGCCGCATGATGTCGTCTTTTGGGCGTGTCACTCGAGGTGCTTTGTGTGCATGTGTGTCACATCACGGATGCGTTCCATTCATATTAGATGTGGCATTTGTTTTCGGATTGTGAACGAGTACATACAATATTATACATCTTTATTTCTATCAAATATGTTTACGATAAAGTGTTGTACTGATCTGTTTGTCATCGTTGAAAAATGAGTAGAGCATCTTGGTTAGGGTCGGAGAAGGGGGCCTATATTTGATGAGACGTATGAGTAGGAAAAGGTGGCCCTGTTCATGAGAATTGGGGAAAATTCAACACTGGTCAATAAATATCATGTCCTCATCCTTGGCATAAGATGAATATCGTACAGTTCGGTACTTAGCTGCATCCAGATGGGGGCCAGTGGCTTTCCTGACATGCACAAATACCTCCATTTGACAACAGCTGGCAGCCTGGCCTGCCATGCCAACAGCGATGGGGGCTTGAGAGCTGCCAGCTCGCAGGCTTTACCCAGAAATCAGGCAACCAGCCAGTCACCAAGTCAGGCACCGTTAGTTGCACGCGTGTAAAGGGCTAAAGTCACTCTTACGATGCGACAAGTTGCATCCCAAGAATAGCCACTGGGGAGGAGGCTGCAATAATAACCAGGACATTGCTGTATCCATTCTGCAACAACAGAAAAGAAAACCACTGTGTGTGTGTGTGTGTGTGTGTGTGTGTGTGTGTGTGTGTGTGTGTGTGTGTGGGGTTGCAGGGCAGCAGGCAGGATCGCTCGTGAAAACGAACCACTTCCAAATATGTCCCCCTGCCTTTGTATTGTTCAAACTTTGAGTTTTTAATCGACATGATACATTCTCTGAACTTTTAAGTCCTGGATGCAAGCATTTCTAAATACAAAGTCCAGCCGAACTTTGTGATATTACAAATTCACCTGAAACTAAAACTATTTGCTCTGATTTGGTGGCATGCAATCGAGGTTGTAATTGCTTCAACGACAAGATGATTGTCAGAGTGAACTGAATTCGTGCGTTGTTCGACTCGTTGAGAGCTGCCAATCAAGCTTTGCCCTGCACAACTAACAATGGGCGATATTTGCAATCTTAACTCGCCCAGCGCATTCTGTACAAACTACACTGAATGAATGACCCTGGTGTGTAGGTTTCCTCCAGGCTGCAGGTGAGTCAGTGTAAACCTTCTGACTTAGAGGCAATTACAGCAGTGAGTTTCTCCAGAGGGTGCCATTGATTATTTTGTTTTCCCCCCCCACTCCCAACCCACCCTTCCCTCTGACTCTTGAACATCCTCTCTTTTGTGCTTGGTCTTTTTCCCACGCACTGGCAATTAGCATGCAGGCTGCAGGAGGGCCAGCTACCTGGGAAGCAGGAGTGCTAGGTTACCCAAAAATTCCACAAATAAAAGTAATGGGAGTATGTTTGTTTTTAGGGAAAATACACCTTGCCACAGCAATTATTGGACATTGTAATGTCATAAATTTGTGATGTTGCTGTACCTCACTAAGCCTCATTTAAGGCAGCATCAAAGGTGCTGTTTCCTACGATTTTTCCTGAGAGGACAGCACTGATGGAAAGAAGAACCTAAGAGAAGTCTAGATCCACTGGCAGTTACTGTATGGATGAATACGCTATGAACAAAAAGCTTTGAATTTGATCATCTGATAACTGTTGTGAATTGGAGTCTCAGTTGTGTTTGCTGTCTGACAAGAAAGAGTGAACCCATAGCCCTTTAAATTAGCTTCTAAGAGAAGGTGCTAGCTAACGAGTGTTGACGCAGGCTGGCTAGCTGCCAGATACTTGTCACTTGTGATCAAAATGCAAAGTATGAGTTACGTTTAACATTTTACCACATTAGAGGTTGGTTTCATTTTTTACATGCATGTATGTTAAAGAATGATGTGCAAGGGGTGCATGTGTATTACCTAATTCCCATTTATCATTAAAGTTAAGCGATTTTATTGTTGCTAACGTATTGATACTGGACTGTTAATGATGGTTTCGTGAGGCCATGTTAGTTAAAACATTGTATTGTTAGGTTAATAAAGCTTCCATGAACCCATTATTCCACCACCTGTAATCACAATAGAATAAAATTTTGTCAACCCATTTCATGAAACAGCTGGTGTTCGACTTTGGAGGCTCCACTGTATTATGTTACAGATAAGTGTGGTTTACATGCCCCAGCTATAAATGAACACATGGATTCACAGAGCTAATTGCTTTTTTGGTGCTGCAACATTAAATTTAAAAAAATTACACTTGTTATAGTTGTGCCACCATCTGGCAAATCTGGTGATTTGGATACATTACCCCCCCCCCTCGAATTTAACAGCTATAATGATCTTCCAGATCTCATCTAAACAGATCTGGGCTGAGTAACTAAAAAAGCTTTTATAAATGACAATCGGGTAATTGCGAGTGGGATTTTGCAAGGCTGTAACCATCAGCGGAGAGCGTGTCTTCGAAGCCAGGTCTCCTCAACCTGAAACAGTCAATGAGGGCGCGCTGCTATTTATAACCACAGATTTTTTATTCAAGAGGGCTCTTCTGTTGTGCTTTTATCACCTCCTCTTGTTTTACTGCTGCCCGCACATTCGGTCTCAACAGACGGTGAAAACACGGATGCAAATTACCTTGGGGAGAGAAAATGAGAATCTGAGCGTGCGTGGCACACACCTAAACTGACATGACCACAGGCCACTGCTGTAGCTCCAAGTTAAGATGATCATTGTGGATAAGCATCAAGGTCTCTTAACGCAGGACTTCCCACATGCAGCCTTATGTAAGCGACTAGGTTGCCCCTCTTCGCAACACCCCTCCCCTCACTCCTCGGCGTGACGGCGTTGCAGCGATGCCTTCTTGCGCTGTGACCACCTCCGCCCACTGCCCTCCACCCACACAAGGACACGGTGGAAGGGAATTCCTCATTACCCCCGCCTTTAAGTGGCCACAAATTAGTGAGAGTCATCAAGACGGCGGGGTCCATATTTGATGCATAGCTTGCGTTAACAATCCAGTTTGTCAGTTACTGCTCATTCAAACTACACCGTAGACTAAAAAAACAGCCAAAAAAGTTGCAAGATACTAAAGTACTAAGGTTACGAAACTACCAGCAGCATTTCATCCCCCCAAAAAACCATGCCATGCTTAGAGCACAATCAGAGGCATGAATTGGTGCGCCAAGATATACAGACTAGGATTACAATAGATTAATTTCAATTATAGATAACACAGAGACAAAACATTCTTACGGTATGAAGAAGTCATCTCGGAGGATCTCCAGCCAAGTCGGATCAGGTCAGATAGTTGTTCTGTTTTGTTTTTGAAACTCAGTAAATGAATCACGGCAGAAGAAACAGCAGTTGTGGACTAGAAAGAACTCTCGTTGCTTAACTGCAAAAGGTAATGAATTCCATTGTCGGTGGGGGGGCGAGTTTCAGGCAAGTTCAGCTCATTCTACACTCTCCTTCCGGCAACTTGCCTTGTTCTAATGTCGAGAGGTGTTTCTTCTTTTTTTCCCTCAATGAAATTCGCATGGACCAGGACAAAAATCCTTGCTGGCTGGCTCTTTCCCGCTCTCATGCCAACATGTGCATCGTTCACAACGCTGCCGTCTCTTGCAAAGCCTGCTCCCTTTCGCATGGATTCTAGCTCTCTCTCTTCCTCCCTCCCTCGCACATCTTGTTCGCTTGCTGCTCTCAGTGCTACGATATAATTGCAGTGACAGCCAAGCGAGGGCTCGCGAGCACCCCAGCTGTTTTAAAAAGCTACATGAATCAGTCACCAAGGTTGCGTGATTGTGAAACTTTGTTCCCCCAATCATTAAACATGAACTAGCGTAGTCACGAATGATCAATCCCCTTTCACACTATGTGTAAACGGGCATTCTCAGGTGATATTAGAGCCGTTCCATTACGCCAAGACAGGGATGTAAAGATTCAATCCAGATTCTCACTCCAGTATTGACAGCAATTGAGAGCGTTTCAGACAAAGAATTCATCACTAATTATTTGACGGTGGGAGGCCGCGTCACGTTGTGAAAACGTACAGATGAGGAATTCTCTCACTTCACTGGGTTTGGCATAAAAGGCAAGGGCTGAGGAATTATGGGATCACTGTGTTAGGAGGCTGATGATTGATTGGAACTACTCTTGCGGGGTATGAAGTGCTGACAGCTGATGTCAAAACGCAGCACTGCTTTACGGTTAAAAAAAGATACAGTACAAAGAATATAAAAGGGAAGATAGCAGGCAAAATTAATGAAAGAAAAAAACTCATTAGCTGGGAAAGCCTTAATCCCTCAAGATGACTTATTTGCATGTTCTCCCTGCAGCTTCAGTGAATATGAGCGGAGGACGTCAAAAGTTCAGCATCAAAGCAACTATCTGCAGCAAGCTCAGGATAAGGTAGACGTCAAGGGATGTCTGCTTTGTGCCTGGCTTGGCTACCGTGGAACCAGGATTCATTTGAGATCCAAGTACGTCAAGCGCCAGCTTTGATTTACCAGGGAAAGATGCAACCGAGATGATTACGAAGACATGTTAGCGGCTAACAAATTGACGAAAGGAGCTGCTAACTTTCAAACACAAAACAGTCATCCGTTACATTAAAACAATACACTCCCATATTCAAACCCTCTAATGTCCTCGTCAATTCATCAACTGTTATACATTTGGTTGATTGTGTGCAATTGACTGTTGATAAACCGTGTCTCAAAAATCAAGATGTCCTTAAAGACCTTTGCTATGACAACACCTCCTGGAAGCATTATTCCAATATAAATCAGTGGAAGAGGAGCTGAGAACATGAAAATGTAGTGTGTTAAGAATAACAAAGAATCGACATTTCTTTCCATATTCTCTTGGGTGTTAGCACAGCATGATAGGTTAGTTAAGTTACAGTTAATGGGTTTGTCAATGATTCATTTCACCAACAGAGTGGTCGGATCACCAATCTTGAAAGATTTTCAACAGATGTGCCCTGCAAACTATGGCCAATCAACTTGTAAAAAGGAGGGATTTTGATGGAAAGGTCAAATATATCATTTCCAAGGGCAAGGGGCTGCCTATAAACTCATCCAAAAGTCTAAAGTCGAGAACAAATTTGCGCATTGGACATGGTAGCCAGATCACTGAATTGATTGCAAGAACAACAGCAAGCAGGGTTTTGCATATTTCACAACTGTTGTCACAGAAATCTCAGGGTGGCCACATGACCAGGGATAAAGAGGACAGCACTAATGCCGTCTAATGCTTCACTCGAACGAGCAGAGCCACGTCTTTTGCATCCAAGCTCTTCAACTCTTTCGTGGGACAGCAAAAGACAGAGGTGACAGGCTTAGAAAGGAGGATGGATAAACAGGAGAGGCACTAAGTGAGGATCAGTGGCCAAAGATATCGCAAATAAACGTTTTTGCGCCATGAACACCATCGCCGGACAGGCAGTGATGGTCTCGATATGAAAAACTATGAAACCTCATCAACATACAGTATGTTACGCTACCTCATATGGATCTCATTTTGGATTATTTTAATCAATTTACATTTGTGAAGTAAGTCCATCTGTGCTGTGTGACAAGAAGCAGCACTGCACTGAGTGAAGGTGGAGATTGCAACATTTGATTCTTGCATTAGCTGCTACCAAATAAAACGACATATGCTTGTCCCTTATGATCAAAATAATTTCATTGGTCCTGTCAAAAACACGTCTGTCCATTTTTGTCATTTGAAAAATGTTTATGTTAATGGGACGTCCGAAATGCAAACACACAGGCGTGTGCAATCGAATGTTACACGTTATGCTTGGGTGATTTAATTTTATATGTATGACAGTTCATGTTAAATGATATGACGTGAGGAGTGTTCAATGCATCTTCAGAATGTAATTAACACCCAAGTGAGTTATGTAGACTTTAATACAATTTTTAATCACGTCTATTAATTTCTTTTTACACTTTTTTGGCAGTTAGTTATTTTTAAAACATAATCTAAACACTACCTGTATGATTAATAAAGAGTTTGGGCTGCTGCAGTGGTGAGGTGAGGCAAAATGGTCAAATTGATATTTTAGGTTGGGGTTTCTGTCCTACGGCAGCAAAGTAAAATGGCATTTAGACCTGGGTCCAAACAAAACTTTTTCTATGCCTTCCTCACTAAATTGCAGGGTTAGCTATAATCATCTTTACTTCCAAGAACTTGTGAGCATCCTCACCTTTAACTTTGAAGTGGAGCAAATCCCGAAGGCCATGTCATACGGCACTTGGTTTTTGCTGGTATTTTCTGAAAGGCAGTGCACAAGGGTGACAGAGCCCTTGGTGCAAGTATGCCCATATTTAGAAGCCAACAAGGAAGTAACGGGGAGGCTTTCCTGCTGGTTTGCCATTTGCTGTCCGTATTCTGAAATCACTCGGCCAGCATCTCTCCCATTGGATGGGCCCTCCTGACGTCACCGTGACGGCACTCTCGAATAGGAAATTTTTCCAGAAATTTCTCTCAAAATCACAAACAATGAATTGGCTCATTGACTGCCTACCGCGCATTGCTAAGTGCAGTGTGAAAAGGTCTTAACTGCAGACTCTTGGCCTCCCTAACTGGGCCTTCCTTCTCCATCCTTTACAAATATCCATTCTACCTGATTCAGATCTCCTTTACCTTCCCATTAAAGCCTCCCTGTTACATCCTTCTGTCCTTGTGCTTCAGTGTCACTCCTTCAATTCGTCTTAGCATCCTCATTTCTGTTGCCTCTGACATCCTCTCCTCCCTCACCCCATTGTCCATACCTCAGCCACATTCAACATCACTGGTCATGTGACGGTATTGGAAAGTTTGACCTTTCAATACTTTTACACACTACGACAAGAAAACACAAATTTAAATGAATTATGATTCGGTTACGTAAGATCTGTCCGAAATTCTAAAAAAAAATTAGATTGTTTTTCAAAGTGCAAGCAGATGTTTGCAAATGGTTGCAAGCTCTTTTTTTTGGAGAAAAAAAAAAAAATCATCTGCCTTCATGAAACACTACAGAAATCTGAGAATAGTTACTGTGGAGGCTGAAGTTCAGATGATTTGGACAATTTTAAGTTTAACAAGTCTAAACGATTGATCGATTAGCAAAAATAAGACTAGAATAGAGACCAGAGTGACTATTATCCTTGATATCTTCTACTAATGACCATTATTTCAAATCTCGGATGATTCTGAATGAAAAAACCCATGCTAATGCGGTTGTAGAGTGAAAATGGACGATGCATGCAGCCCCTTCAGTGTTCGTTGTTGGGTGGCATGTTAACATTCAGTCAGGATGTATACACATGACCGTCCCAAAAAAGTTCATTGGGCTGCTTATGTCACCTGCAGTCGGACAGTCGACAGGTCGAGGCAAGATGCTGCAACAGCGAGCTAGCGATAACAACAATGAGCTTTGACTACTGCCTGCTAAGCACGTTGCGGGTTCGCTCCAAATTCTGGAATCACAGACTCCACCAACTCGCCCTGATGGTGGCGAATGAACAAAACTTCTTACGAGTACCTGTTGTAAATTCAATTCACATGACTTTGGGAGAAATAGGAACAAATCAGATGTCGAACAGCATCCAAGACCAAAGCACCGTGTTCGACCTTAGAGCTTCCACTGTGTCATGCATATGCATTGTAACCCTCTGAGCTTTGCAGCAAAGCCTGTGAAGTCACCCAGGCAAAGATTTAAAGCCTGTCACCTTCCCTCCAACCAAATCAATAATTGACTTCAAAGCAAACGACGGAGGACACGAGTGGAAACATCGGTTTTGGGGGTGTGGGGGTGAAAACAAACAGTTTGAAAGATGAGAAGGAAGGAGTAAAGAAAGAGAGTGAGAGGAGAGGGGAGAGGGATGGGAGCAGCAGCAGGAGCAGCAGCAGCAGCAGCAGCAACACCACGCATGGTGCTCTGGCAGAGATCTATAAATAGCTCTTGAAATCTCACTAGAAAAAGCCACTCTTCTTCTTCCACTGCTGCTGCAAGCGAGGCATTCAAAGGCGTAAGCAGATATGGATAGCACGCCGGTGAATAAACCTGCGGACCGCATCCCGGTGGATCAGAGCTGCCTATTTCAATGGCATCACATCTCTTAAATGACTTTTTTTTTTAATGCTTTCATATCAGCCGTCTTGGCTTGAATTAATAATTAATAGTGGGAGTGGAATACAGCCGAGCTAAGCACACAACATATTGCGCAGTATGGGAACAAAAAAAAAAACCCCAAATATCAGACACAGGTTCAAGTGACAATTCAAATTGTTTGCTCTTGAGTGGCAAAACTGGATATTGCATCATGGCAGCATAAATAGAAAAAAATAAGACGCATTCAATTAGATATAGTGTTTGTATTTTATTGACAAATGCATTGGCCATATATTTATTATTTTATTGATATGTCTGTTAAAGCTTTATGACTCTTACAGTCTTATCACCCTGCACTATACACTTGTTCAACATTTCCTCTTAGGATTGGGGCGTTTTATAATTGATGATTCTACAAATTATCTCATCGATAAATCGAGGATTCAGATAATGAATAAAACAAAGATTTTCACATAATACCAATCCGAAACATGCATGTGAGGTGTAAGTATTATTTTTGACAATTTGGGGCCGGGGTGGGCATCCTCAAGTTTTACAATGTAGTATCAGTGACCTATGATTATGTATGGC